GCAACGAGAAAGCCTGGATTACTTTGATACATACTCACCTGTAACTAGGATAACATCCATTCGCATGGTGATTGCGTTAGTAGCTTTGCGCAATCTGGAGATACACTAGATGGATGTAAAGACAGCTTTCTTAAATGGGGATTTGAATGAAGAAATCTACATAGAGCAACCTGAAGGGTTTTCAGTTCCAGGGCAAAGCAAGAAAGTCTGTAAACTTGTCAAATCATTGTATGGTTTGAAGCAAACACCTAAACAATGGCATAAGAAGTTTGACAACGTAATATTGTCAAGTGGATTTTCAACGAATGTGACATGTGTGTTTATGTCAAAGACACTGACAGAGGTTATGTCATTTTGTGTCTATAATTTGATGATATGCTCATTATAGGTAGTTATGATGAAATGATTAAAACTATCAAGAAGTTGTTAAATTCTAAGTTTGACATGAAGGATATGGGCATTGTAGATGTTATTCTGGGAATTAAGATTACCAGAACATCTGGTGGAATTATACTTTCTCAGTCTCATTATGTTGATAAGATACTTGAGAAGTTTAATGGATCAGATACGAGTGTGTCATCGACACCTGTAGACTTAAGTCTATATTTTACCAAGAATAATAAAGAGAGTGTCTCTCAGTTAGAATATTCTCGGGTAATTAGAAGTTTAATGTATCTGATGAGTTGTACAAGGCCGGATATAGCTTACTCGGTTAGCAGGCTTAGTAGATACACTAGTAATCCCGATGCTTCTCATTGGAAGGGCATTGTGTGGGTGTTAAGGTATTTATGCTACACTCGGGATTATAAGCTGCATTATACTCGATATCCAGTGGTGCTTGAAGGCTATAGTGACACGAATTGGATATCAGATATAAAAGACTCCAAATCCACTAGTGGTTATACGTTTATCCTCGGAGGGGCAGCCGTGTTTTGGAATCTTCCAAACAAACGTGTATATCTAGATCAATGATGGAATTAGAGTTTATTACTTTTGATAAAGCAATAGAAGAAGCTGAATGGCTTCGCCATTTTCATTGAAGATTTGCCACATTGGTCTAAACATGTGCTGCTATTTGTATTCATTGTGATAGTCAATCTGCAATTGGTAGGACACAGAGTAATATGTATAATGGAAAGTCTAGACATATCCGTCGTAGACATAATTCCATACGACAACTACTCTCGAATGGAGTTGTCTCTTTAGACTTTGTAAAGTCTAAATGACAACATTGCGGATCCGCTAACCAAAGGGTTAAACGAGTGTTGGTCGAGACGTCGTCAAAAAGAATGGGGTTGAGGCCTTTGGAAGTTACCGGAATGGAAACCCAACCTAGTTGACTGGAGATCCCAAGATCTAGGTTTAATAAGACAACCTAATTGCGTGTAACGGTGGTATGTCACTGAGGATGTTAAACCTCCAGCCATTCTTTTTATCAATGATACCTGCAAGTGTAGAGGTTAAGCTGAGCTTTTAATGACTTTAGTGTGTTAAGCTGTTGAGCTGAGTCTAGTAGGATACTCAAGTAGAGTCACCTATGTAAGTGTGAAGTGGGGCCGCTTCTAGAAGAATTGGGTAGGCCAAGATTCTTTGAAACCACTCGCTGAACCAGGCTAGTGCCCAGGGCCATACAGGGCACACCAATGAGAACAAAATGGTGGTAGGAGTAATTCCCGTGTGAGATCTATTTTCTCAGTTTACATAAACGGCAGAGCAGTTCAAGATGTCATATTCACTGATCAGCCAGTAAACTCGATAGGTTTTCACTAGGAGAGGTTCAAAGACAAAAACTACCTTCCCTAATGTCGGGGTTAGTCCGTTGTTCTCTCTCTCCAAGTCATTATTGTTGATCGGTGTCCGTTTGTTGAGTCATTCGGTCAATTTTTATTCATATGGGGGATTGTTAGAAAAAATGATTTTTTGGTGACTTTAATTTAATATTAAAGTGTGGTGACTTTAATTAAATATTACAGTGGGTCCCAATCATCTATTGTGTTGGGTCCAAGTGGGCCAAAAACCATTGAGAATTGAATAAGAAATTGCCTCATGATGATAGATTCATGAATGAGATTTTAAGGATATTTAAATCCTTTTTCTTGGCTAAAGGGTGTGAACACGTTGGGCATCCAAACTTTTCATCTTTCTGGAAAGGGGTTATGGATCCTGGTTAATGGGGCTTTAATGACCACCCATAAAGGCTGGTGGCTCTTCCTCTCTCCCCTATACATGTATAAATTGAGATCCTCCTGTCAAGTCTCCATATAGAATTTTTTTCTTTTCGTTTTACAAGTCAGTTTGCCAGAAAGTTCTTACTGTGAGAGAGTGTTGCCACTGTTTTTGTTTGCTAAGCCAGACAGAAAGTGCTTCTACCATAGCTGGTTTTGGCCGTCGTATCCTGGGAGACAAACGTCGGGATTCCTCAAGCACTCGACCCGTGAGGCGGCGAAATCTGTTTTAAGGAAACTACTACCGTGCAGGCTTCGGTTTGGTTTCTTTACCATTTTATTGTTTTGTATATTTTTGTTGAAATTTAGTTGTAATTATCAGCATATGCTCTTGGTATATAATTTTGATTTCTTCATAAATCTATTTATTTAATTTCACAATTTGAACAACACAAATTTCTCATAAAAAATTCCATAATCAAGTGTACCTTGAATGTATCTCAACACTCTTTTTGCAACCCCAAAATAAATTTGGCATGGACTGTGCATGAACTGAGACAATAAACTTGTAGCATACACGACGTCTGGCCTTGTAGCAGTTAAGTACAACAAACTTCCATTCAAACTTCTATAACAAGATGCTTCAGCTTCTTTGCTTCCATCTTCCTTTGGCAACTTTTCATTCACAATTAAGGGAGTAGCAACTTATTTGCAATTCTTCATTTGGAATTTCTCAAGAAGTGTTTGAGTATACTTCTTTTGGCAAATAAAAACACCACCATTGTTTTGGTAGATTTCAATGCCTTGCCTCTTGATGTACAAAGTTGGCTCACTTTTGCTTCTTTGAAAACCCTTTTCATTGAAGTAAGCATCAATTTCACTATACCATGCCCGAGGTGCTTGCTTTAGGCCATATAAAGCCTTCTTCAACTTATACACTTTATCTTCTTTGCCTTTGATAACAAAGCCTTGAGGTTGATCAACATACACCTCTTCTTCTAATTTTCCATTCAAAAATGCTAATTTTACATCAAGTTGGTGCAAGAACCAACCCTTTTGAGCCGCCAAAACAATGATAGCTCTAATTGTATCAAGTCGAGCCACAGGAGCAAAAGTTTCTTGGAAATCAATTCCAGGTTGTTGTGAATACCCTTTTTCCGCAAGTCTTGCTTTGTTCTTTTGAATAAAGCCATCCGGATTGAACTTTGTTTTGAAAATCCACTTCACACCAATTATTTCTTTTTCTTTCGGTTTCTCCACTAGCTCCCAAGTCTTGTTCTTCTCAATCACATGAATTTCATCTTCCAGTACTTTCTTCCATGTTTCATCTTTAATTGCCTCTTCAAAATTTTCAGGTTCAACAATGCATAAATTGCATCTTGCATACACATCACAAAGACTCCTTATATTTCTTGGAGTTGAACTTGGAGATGAAGAACTTGAACTTGAACTTGAACTTGAACTTGAAGAAGATTGTGAACTAGCAATTGGTGACAATCTTTGTGGAGATTCAAGAGTTGCAACATCTTCAACTTGTAGACTTTCCGATTCTTCATTGAAAGCAACGCTTTGATCTTGGACTTTCTTTTCCTTCCAATCAAAAGACGCCTTCTCGTCAAAGAGAATATCTCTACAAATAATCACCTTCTTTTGATCCAAACTGAAGAGTCTATAGCCTTTGGATTTTGAGCTATAACCCACAAAGATGCATTTCTTACTATTTTCATCAAGCTTGTGCCTCACTTCTTTTGGAACATGAGCATAACAAATGGAACCAAACACCTTCAAGTGATTCACCGATGGTTTCCTTCCACTCCAAGTTTCAAATGGAGTTTTGTCCTTAAGAGCTTTTGTAGGACATCTATTCATCAAGTAAACTGCTGCATACAGGCCTCACCCCAAAAAGTTTTGGGTAGCCCCTTCTCATGTAACATAGACTTGGACATCTCCTCTATGGTTCTATTCTTCCTTTCTGCCACACCATTTTGTTGTGGAGTGTACCCAACAATCAATTGCCTTTCCATTCCAATATCTTCACAAAATTTCATAAACTCATTTGAGTTGTATTCTCCACCTCTATCACTTCTCAATACTTTCATCAAATAACCACTTTGTCTTTCAACAAGATTTTGAAATTTCTTGAAGATTGAGAAAACTTCACTCTTTTGTCTCATGAAATACACCCAAGTCATTCTAGTAAAATCATCAACAAAGATAATAAAGTATTTGTTACCTCCATGAGTTGGTGTATCCATAGGTCCGCACACATCGGTATGGACAAGCTCTAATGGTGCTTTAGCTCTCCATGCTTTCTTCTTTGGAAATGACTCCCGGTGATGCTTTCCAAGTGCACTACCTTCACAAATATGTTGCACTTCATGAATGGTTGGCAACCCAAAAACCATATTCTTTTGTTGTAGATACTTCAAGCTTTGAAAATTCAAGTGCCCAAATCTTCTATGCCAAAGCCATGAATTATCAATCACATCCATCTTCACGTTCATCTTCAAAGCCGCATTTTTGCTATACCGAAAAATGAGAGGAAAACTTTTGTTCTTCTTCATCTTGATTTTTGCTACAACTTGGCTTTTCCCCCCTCTATCAAAAATTTTGCAAAAATCATCTTCAAAGTGAACAAGATATCCATGCTTCATAAGTTGTCCAACACTTAGCAAATTTTGCTCCAAGTCTGGAACTAGGAGAACATCGGAAATGAATCTTGTACCCATCTTGGTTTCTATAGCAATAGTACATTTTCCTTTTGTTTGGACTAAGGCACCATTCCCCATTTTTACTTAAGAACTGGAGGAAGCATTCATTTTCACAAAAATACTCTCATCTCCTGTCTCCTGTCATGTGATTGCTACATCCACTATCGAGACACCATACATCCTTGTTTTGATCCGATTCCTTGTGACAAGCATAGAACATGTGCCCTTCATTTTCTTGCTCCTCGGAAAAATTAGCTTGTTGAGTGCTCTTGACATGGTAATCCTTCTTGACATGCCCAAATTTGTTGCAATTGTAACATTTTGGCTTTCCTCGAAACCAACAATCTTTATCAACATGATTGCTTCGGTTGCAAATTCCACACTTTTGTTGAGTGGACTCTTCATTTTCCTTTCTTTGAAAATTAGACCTTCCTCTTCCTCTTGCATTTCTTACTCTTCCAGTTGCATTTCTTCCTCCTCCTCTTCCTCTTCCTTGGAAATTAGAGGTACTAACATTGAGCTTGGATTGAAAGGCACTTTCAATTGACTTTTCAGATTGCCTACTCAACCTTTGCTCAAATGCTTTAATTGAACCCATCAATTCTTCAATACTCAAATCAGCAAGATCTTTAGTTTCTTTAATTGAACCCATCAAATCTTCAATACTCAAATCAGCAAGATCTTTAGTTTCTTCAATGACAGCAACAATGGGATTGTATTTCTCCGAAAAATTTATCAAAATTTTCTCAACAACTCTTTGATTAGTAATATTATCCCCATAAATTTTCATTTGGTTTACAAGTTCCATAAGCCTAGAAAAATAATCCTTCAACAATTCCATATCCTTCATCTTTAAATTTTCAAAATCTATTTTCAATGATTGAAGTTGGATGGTTCTTACCTTCAAGTTGCCTCTATACTCTTTCTGAAGAATATCCCATGCCTCCTTCACTTTTGTTGCATTGATAATTCTTGGAAAGATTGCTTCTGAAACTCCTTGTTGAATAAAAGAGAGAGCCTTTGAATCCTTCTTCCTTTGCTCTTTTAATTGGTTCTTTTGGGGATTTGTCAAAGCTCCTTTATCTTCAAGTTCCTCGAACCCATTTTCAACAAGATCCCAAAGATCCGTATAGACAAAAATAGTTCTCATTTTCACATACCAAAAATCAAAATTTTCACCATTAAAGATAGGAGTAGATACATTTTGGTTGTTGGGATTCACCATGGACGTCGGTTTGTTCTTCTTTGGGGATTGTTTTCCCGTATCTGATCTCTACGCCCAGCTTGCTCTTGACCCAACCAAAGCTCTAATACCACTTATGTTAGCTTTTAATAAAACTCTCTTTAGAATGAACTATATTTTGTATTGAATTTTTCTCACTTATTTATTCATATCCTTTGCCCATAAGCTTACATCATTTTATATAGAGAAGGTTATACAAAAATTCAATGAATAAGATCTATGAACCTAAACAACCTTGCAATTAACTAGGTACATGAATATAATCTAGACAATGTACTTAATAAATATAAAATACATGAATATAAAAATGCATGAATTCAAAGAATGTATGAACTCAATGTATCCAATGCATGCAATGCATCCAATGTATCTAATGTAAATATGACATTAACTTTAACAGCTTACGCCTTATGCATACCTGAAGCTGTTAATTTGAGCCCATTCTGTCCCCACTCCCTTTTTGTCAGGTTGTCCTCTTGATACTCTGGTGGTAAATTTGAATGTGATTTTTTGGTACCCAATTGAGTCTGATGATATTTTTGCAAGGACCAATATGCACAAATATATATTTTTTAAAAAGAAAAAAATAAAAAATTGTCATTGCTAAGCTGTTTGTATGTAGGAATGGATTAGGTCAGTTGATTGTTTGCAGGAAACATAGAGATTTTGTTCATGTTAGTTTCAAATTAATCATAATTTATCTTATGGAGTTTGCATATATAATTTATTACCTTTTGTGTAGAGGTTGGCTTGACCATCTTGTTTTGCTATGTATACCATTGGTTGCAGGCAAAATTGCCCTTGGAATTTTAGGTCTGCTTACCAGTTGGATATGACTTGGAATGTAAAACTGGTCAAGTTATTAATTCTGCTACAGCGTATTTCTTTGTCTCTTTTTTTTTTTTCCTTTTGCTTTGCATTTTGGGCTATACTCATAGCCGGTTTATACTACCATAAAATATTTTAAGAAGTTTTTTGTTTTATAGTTTACTTATAGTCCCTTCTATTTGCCATTTCCAGGAACCTGTGAGCTTTAATTGAGTTAGTAATGGCTAGTTCTCAGCTTTGATATTGCCTTTTGAATCCTCCGAACAAAGTGGTACGCATATGGAAGCTTCAAACATGAACTCAGCTTAACCACCTTCGCAGTAGAGCCGAAAATCCTCATATGGACCTGTGGCTATTCTATGGGACATTGAGAACTGTCCTGTTCCAAGTGATGTACGCCCCGAAGATGTGGCTAGCAACATAAGAATGGCATTGTGGGTCCATCCTGTAATTAATGGAGCTGTTACATTGTTCTCTGCATATGGGGATTTTAATGCCTTTCCCAGGCAACTGAGGGCAGGCTACCAGAGAACTGATGTCAAACTCGTAGATGTACCAAATGGAAGAAAGGATGCTGCTGACAAGGCCATATTGGTTGATATGTTTCTTTTTGCTCTTGACAACCCTCCACCATCTTCCATCATGCTGATCTCAGGCGATGTTGATTTTGCTCCAGCACTTCACATACTTGGTCAACATGGATATACTGTGATTCTTGTCATTCCTTCTAGGGTGAGTGTATCATCTGCCCTGTGTATTATGGGTAGGTTTGTATGGGATTGGCATAGTGTGGCTCGTGGGGAAGGCTTTGTGCCTCCCTCTAGGGCTTTAATTCCCCCTCATGGAGGTCCGGCTGAGATTGCTGGGAATCTGACGGGGTGCCAAATCAATGATAACCCAGATGTTCGGAATGAGGAAGCAATTTTATATTGAGGGATCTCACAAAATGTTTACAACTCAAGGGATTTCTCAATGATATCACAGTCTTTATCTGAGTACAATAGTACTTCAATGACCATGCCTTGCTTTCCTTCAACTTTAAGATCACAAAGTCTTCCATCTAGTTCAAATGAAGTATCAGCGGCATCTGCTCCTCGTTGTGACCAGAATGATTTGATGTGGGTATAGCCTGGAGATCTAAATGGTTTGAAGGCACAGCTGGTGAAGCTGCTTCAATTGTTTGGAGGGTGTGTACCTCTTACCTGTGTTCCTCCCAAATACCAAAATTTTTTTGGGAGGCCTCTTTACGTAGCAGAATATGGGGCATGCAAGCTTGTGAATCTTCTCAAGAAGATGGGTGACATGATAGCAATAGAAGGAAAAGGTCATAAGAAGTTTGTCTACCTTCGAAACTTGAGACCTGGCCCAAGTGTGCCTCCACTACCTCTGGCAAAGAAGGATAAGAAAGGGAAGGAGTCTCAGGAAGAGATCGTTGATATTATCACAGGTGGTGGATCTTCAGATGAGTTCTCAGATGAAGAAAGGGTAGTAGTTGAAGAACATGATGAATGGGCAGGTGTAGAGAAGACTAATCTGGGTATGCCATCTAGATGTGAAAATGATGACCCAGGTACTGAACAGTTCAAGTATGAGCTACAAGAGATTTTTGTGAGTTATTCCTGTCGAATTTTCATGGATTCTTTTGAGGCTATATATCAGCAACGGTAGAAGAGATCAGTGGATTACCAGAGATTTGGTGTGAATGATCTGGAGAAGTTATTGGACATGGTGGGAGATGTTGTGGTTTTGCGTGTGGAACGAGGAAGCAATAGGAAGTTTCTGGTTGCTGTTGGTGGCTAGATGAATAGGGCAGCTGCTATTTTTAAAATTTTTTTATGTCTTTAACTTAATTAGGGGTCTTTGTAGCTGAGGTATGCATGTTGCTACCCTGTTCCTCTCTCTCTGTATATATATATATATATATCACCCTAATGTTTCATAAAAGATGATAGGAAAAACTAGGAGCATGTATGTTTGTTGTGTATCTGATAGTTTTGAAGGTTTATCCATGTAAGACTTTGTAACAGATTTACTGCCAAAGCATATCTGTATGCAAACTAACATGCCTTTTTACATTTTGTGTTCCCATTACATGAACTGAGATTCTGAACTTGTTTTGAACACGTTTGCTCCAGATTCTGCATTTGGAGGCATGGTTGCTTGGATTTGGTCCATATTTAACATTTGTAATGATTGAACTGCTCTTGCTTACTGAGATTGTTGTCTTTGATTTTTAATTTGTATTTTGTTATCTAGGGATATCAGTACTACAGAAAACTGTGTATATATATTTTTCCCCAAAGTTTAATAAAAGTTGATAGGAAAAGCTAGCAGCATGTATGTTTGTTGTGCATCGGACTATATATATATATATATATATTTCACCACAAAGTTTAATAAAAGTTGATAAGAAAAGCTAGGAGCATGTATGTTTGTTGTGCATCTGACAGTTTTGAAAGTTAATCTGTAGGACTCTGTAACAGATCAACTACAAAAGCATATATGTACACAAACTAACATGCCATTAACTTTTTGTGTTCTTATTACATAAACCAAGATTCTAAACTTGTTTATGCGAATTGGTTTTGAACACTTTTGCTCCAGATTTTGCATCTGAAGGCATGTTGCATGGGGTTGGTCCATATTTAACAGTTGTAATGATTGAACTGCTATTGCTTACTCAGATTGTTGTCTTTGATTGTTAGTTTATATTTTGTTATCTAGGGTTATCAGCACTACAGAAATCTGTGCAGTTGCTTGCAGGCATGGTTGTCTTTGATTGTTAATTTATATTTTGTTATCTAGGCATATCAGTAGTACAGAAACCTGTGCAGTTTGATGTAGTTGATAACAAAGACTCAGAATCAAAATGTGTACGACACAAATATTTTTTCCTAGAAAGTGTTTCTGTTGAAACAAAAGGAACGTTAGTTCCAAGAAGAGGGAGAGGGGCAAGGAATTCTATCAATATGTTTGAAGTCAGTACCCTTCAAATGAGAAGTGTCTTCTTTTATCTTCTCGTTTTCTAGTTGTGATCTAGGCATATCAGTATTACAGAAACCTGCGCAGTTTGATGTAGTTGATAACAAAGACTCAGAATCAAAATGTGTATGACACAAATATTTTTTCCTAGAAAGTGTTTCTGTTGAAACAAAAGGAACGTTAGTTCCAAGAAGATGGAGAGGGGCAAGGAATTCTATCAATATGTTTGAAGTCAGTACCCTTCAAATGAGAAGTGTCTTCTTTTATCTTCTCGTTTTCTAGTTGTGTTGCATTATTGTAAAAGGAATCTCTTTATTGAAATCTGATGAAAGTCTTTTCTTTCCTTATCTTGTCTGTATTAATATATTTGTTTCTCTTGTCCCTTATCAAAATCTTGGATATATTGAGTTAGCATAGTAGAAGAATATTCGTACCATCAAGCAGTAGTTCAATATGGTTTGTGATGTGATATCTGAAAAGGCATCTAGAGCCGGCTGTTTATTCAGACAACTATGGAAACTCCAATCAGTAGTGCTTTTTTTATGATTTTTTTGTTGGTTTAATCGCTTGGACTTTAGTTGCTTGAGCAGTATATATAACGTATTGTCATTGTACTGATTAACTACTTCAGTAGTCTGTTTTCAGTGCTCCCTAAAAATGGATTGCTCTTTTTTTTTCATGCTCCTCTGTTTCTTCCTACTTTCAGTTGGCATGTCAGCAGCTCTTGTTGCGGATGATTGTAGGACGTACATCATCCACGTGGACAAATCAGCTATGCCTTCTCCTTTCCCAGATCATCATAGTTGGTATATGTCAACTCTCTCGTCCCTGTCTTCGCCGAATGGTGTTCTTCCAACCCACCTCTATACCTACAACCATGTCTTGGATGGCTTTAGTGTAGTGCTGTGTCAGTCCCAACTTGATCAGTTGGAGAAAATGTCTAGTCACATTGCCACGTACCCAGAAACCTTTGGAAAGCTTCAGAGTACACATACTGACGCAGCGAAATACACGGGGACTAGATATCGTTCTAGTAGACAAAAAGGGCTCTCGAATCCACGAGAAAAATAGAACCTTAAATCCACAAGGAAGAGAAAATATCTTAATATTATTGATTGAATGAATAAAAGTTGAATAAACCTGCCCCAATTGGCAGATTTTTCTTCGTGAGG